TCGTTCGATTAACAGTTTCATAACATCAGGTTTATCATACAGAGCTGCGACGATCAAGGGTGTACAACCCTCAAAAAGTTCTTTATCAGTCTTTACCGTTGCTCGAGCCTCGATGTCTGCATTTTGTTCGATTAACAGTTTCATAACATCATGTTTATCATACAGAGCTGCGACGATCAAGGGTGTACAGCCCTCAAAAAGTACTTCATTAGTCTTTACCGTTGCTCGAGCCTCGATGTCTGCATTTCGTTCGATTAACAGTTTCATGACATCAGGTTTATCATACAGAGCTGCGATTATCAAGGGTGTAAAACCCTCAAAAAGTTCAAAAAGTTCTTCATCAGTCTTTACCGTTGCTCGAGCCTCGATGTCTGCATTTCGTTCGATTAACAGTTTCATAACATCAAGTGTATCATGAAGAGCTGCGAAGATCAAGGGAGTAAGACCCTCAAAAACAAATTCATCAATGTTTAGCGTTGATCGAGCCTCGATGTCTGCATGTCGCTCGATTAATATTTTCACAACATCAAGTTCTTTGATAGATATAGCGGCAAACAAAGGCGAGAAATCCTTAAGAACTGATCCGTCCTCATATGTTACCGATCCTCGAGCGTCAATGTCTGCATTTTGTTTGATTAGGAATTTTACAACAGCAAGATGGCGGTTATAAGCAGCAGCAAACAAAGCCGTATTCTCAAAAGCTAAGTCTTCTACCATGAGCGTTCCCTTAGCATCGATGTCTGCTCCGTACTTTAAAAGGATCTTCACCGAATCCAGGTGTCCATTAAAAGCAGCGATGATGAGAGGAGTGACAGAGTGGCCGCCATCTTTTGTCTCTGTTTTCAAAGCAGTTTTTTGTTTGTCAGCCGTCAGCCGCTTCAAGAGACCTTTCAGATCAGGAGAACCGTCGCGAGCAGCGTGATAAACTTTAGTGTCAGTATTCATCATGGATACCTCATTAGCCATTTCACAAAACACACGCTTGGGAAACTTAGAGTTTTTACTAAGGTTTGCTTGTAAGACAATACATTTACAACAGACAAAATAGGATACAGCAGTTTTTTGAGGTCGTAAACTACTTGCGCATATTAACAGATTCAATTTCACACTACAGTTATCGACATTAATACTGATGAATAAATTTTATTGTTTTGCAGATCAAGTTGCCAGTCTTAGCAATTCCGAGACTTTTGGGGCGAGTTATGTTCATAAATGTACTTTTTATTTCAGTTTGATTAATCACTGAGGATATGCATTTGGTACTGTCATGGATGTCATTATGTAAAAGATCGTGTAAAAAGTCATCATGTAAAAGATCGTGTAAAACGTCATCATGTAAAAGATCGTGTAAAACGTCATCATGTAAAAGATCTCCTAGAAGTGCAGGAAATGATTCGCATTTTTGCCCAGAGGGTATTTGCTTCGGAGGGGGGAGGGAAGGGGAGAGAAGTTTTTCCGATTTGATTGGCATCTGAGAATATTTCCATCAGCAAATGTGGCCTCGTCTCAAGATACATTAAGACGATTTTAGAGAGCATGTATTCGGATGGACCAATTTTCGCTTGCCTTCTTGACACGTTGAATCATTCGAAGCCGGGTGGTGTCAAAGTCAATGAGTTTTGCATTTATCTGTTCGTGTTTATCCCACAATAATCAACTATACAGTTTTAGAATGCGCCTTAAAGTTATTATAATCACTCACAAAGCAATTAATGGTACAGCTCCTAATTATTCGTCATCTCTTATACAATTAAATATGAAAAAGTAAAATACAATGTATAAAATATAACAATA